CCAGGAGGGGCCGCGCGGCGCCTGCACCGACGCCAGCAGCTCCTCCGCGGACGCGCGCACGCACCCCGCGCGGCGGTCTGCCGCCGTGTCCTTTCGCGGGAGGGAGGGGGCTGACGAGCTCCTCCTCCTCCTCCTCCTCCTCCTCCTCCTCCTCCTCCTCCTCCTCCTCCTCCAGGAGGAATCCGACGCTGCGGTCGCCCTACCGCCTCAAGGAACGATGGCAGGCGGCCGTGCCCTCGCACGAGGGAGTCCCATCCCGCCGCTGCCCCCTGCTCCCGCTGCTGCTGCTGCCTTTCGTTGCGCTGCGCTGCTGGTGGGCTGCCCGCTGGAGACAGGGGAGGGGACGAGGGGGTACGGGCACGACCGAGGAGGGGAGGGGTGATGAGGGCGTGGGGAAGGAGGAGGAGGAGGAGGCGAAGCGGCATAAACCCAATACGCGTCAACGATGTTACAATAAACCTTCCCTCCAAGATTCCCAGTCACAAGTTCTTGAGAGATGTCTGTCATTGCGGGAAATACCTGTTGGAAGATAAACGTGTGAGACTCCCCGATCGTGACAGAAAAACCGTGGGACTTCATTCAACACCGCGAAGTGTCAACGTAACTGTTGCGCCCTGACAATCCTAAATCGTGAATCCAATCTTGGGGAATTGAACTACATGACTCCTATAAAATGCTGCAACCTTTGAAACGAAATTGCGAAACATCAATGCCAAAAAAACACTCTTTGAAAACGAACGCCCCCCATCCGCGAAACTGCTGCAATAGTTGAAACACATGTGCGCGGCGCTCAAGCGAGAACAACATGTTGAAAAAAACACCCTCCATCCGTGAAGCTTTCGCAACCTTTTAAAAGGAATGCGCGCGGCGCTCAAACGAGGGCCGAATTTTGAAAACGGCCCACCCCCCATTCGTGAAACCGTTGCAAATGCCAAGCTGCAGGACCATACACGGTGAGGAAGTATCGAGCGAAGCGTCTGGCCCGCCCTACCCACCCGTCTAGGGGTGCGACAGGAAAGAATTGCTTACACTTGCCATCGCTCGGACGTCCATTCCCTGTGTTTTTGTTCGGTTTCGTGCGCGGTTTTTTCGCCAAATGATCAAGGATGCTTCTCGATGGTCCTCGCCGAAGGAAACATGCACACGTCCGAGCGATGCCAAGTACAAAGAAAAACATGGAGGACTCCGGAATCTGGGCGATGCATTTTTGTCACACCGGGCGCTCTCGCCCGATGTCGGGCCCCGGGTCACAGATCCTTCCTGGTCGAAAATACAACTAAAACGTATGGTCCAGGGCTCTGGTCGTGACCTCTCGGAGACGTTGCAACCTGCCCCGCAAAGCCAGAGCTCAGGTGCGGAGGACGTGGAGGCGTGGTCCAAGAGGTGGACGTGGCAGCCAGCGTGGAGGTGGCGGAGGGCGTGGAGGAACCGGTCTGGTGGTTAACAGTCGAATGGACTTTGAGCCAGACACCTCTAGTGTATGGGACTCGGCTCGCCGTCGAAGGCGGCCGAGTTCCGTTCACTTTAAAGGGATGTGTGCATATATATATATATATATATATATATATATATATACGCACACACACACTCGTAAGCAATAGGCAAGCGCGGCGGGGCAAGGGAGAGGAAGAGACGACGCGACCCGACGCTGCGCGGCCCCCCTTTTGCCCAAAGCCGCTGCGAGCCACAGAATGCTCGTCGGCGGCGCGAGCGAGCGAACGACCGAAACGATCCTCTCCTCGATCCTTAAGAGGAAGGAGGGGAAGCAAGAGAAGGAGCGGTGGAGGCCCGAGAAAGATCCCAGGGCCCCCGAAACCCAGCGGGGCTCCCGCTCAAAATAAAGATGGCGCCAGGTACGACGGGTAAAACACGTCTGGATGCGTTTTCGGGGGTCCCACAACCGTGTGGTGACGGACCGCGCGGTGATCTCGAAATCCTAAGAGACCTCACCGCGCGGTCCGTCACCGCACGGCCTGGGAACCTCGGAGCCCTGGTCGCCCGAGACGTCCTCGAAGAACGACCCGAGTCCCAAGACTGTGCGGCGACCCCGCGTCCCCACTGACCACCACGGTGCGGTCATCAATCACACCGTTGGGGGGTCCCCAATGTCTGCCGCAACGCCCCGTGGGGACGAGCCAAAGAGCGGAGGCGCCGCCGGAGGAGCCCCTCCGTCGAGGCTCGGTCTGGGGTGCCGGCAGTGCCAACCTCGGCACTCCGCCGACTGCGGGGAGGGAGGAGGGAGGCGAGGGGGGGGTGGGGCAAGCCAAATGCGGTCGGGCCATGGCTGACATCCTGCTCCTCCCGCTCATCCCTTCCCTTTGTGCTGCCTGTTCATTCTGTGTCCGCCGACGCGTGTCACATCGGAACTGGAACTCCAGAGAGGACCCCATCGCGTTGCACGGTTTCCCCCGGGGCCGTAGCGACCCGACGAGGAGGAGGAGCAGGAGGTGAAGGAGGGAGACGGGGAGGATATGGAGAAGGAGGAGGAGGAGGGAAGAGG